TAATTTTTTGTGTTTAGATTTGGTTCTGTGTTTGTGTTGACTTCTGTTACATGTTTCTGTATTAAAATTGTCATGTTAATTGCCTTTAGATGACATTTTCTGTGACTTGTTTCTATTTTAAGGCCCCGTCCACACGAAGTCAAAACGAACACGAAACGCTGATATTTTCCAAAACGTTTGCCGTAAAGACGGAGACGTAAAATAAATGTGAGCGTCCACACGAATGCATGAAAACGCTGCAAAATGTATGCCAGGCCTGTAAGTGGCGCTGTGGTGCCAAAGCAAAAATAAGCGACGAAATGTAGTGCATGCGCACTAATATTTATACATGGTTGCCCTGCGGGTCTATTTTCGTGGTTAAGTCAAATTCAGGTGCTGAACTATGTGGTCGATATTGCTCTGTTCTTCCTGGAGATATTCCAGAAGAAGAAGATTCTGTTGTAAGCCCGACCAGCCCGACAGCAGGGTGAGTAGCATTAGCAGCAACGGCGCCATTGTTGTTGTGATGTGTCGCGCTTGCGTGTTTAGAGGCGACGCTATGACGCATGCGTGTAAAAAAAAAAATGCGGTTAGGGTGTAAACATGGAAACGCGAAAACGGCGTTTCAGAATCTTCCCACTCTGAAGGGTGAATAAAAAAATGATCGTTTACAGACCCCCGAAACGCCGGCTTCGTGTGGATGAGAGGCTGGTTTGGTGAAAAATTTGTGCGTTTAGGCCAGGGTTCGTCTTTGTGTGGACGGGGCCTAAGACTGATTTATATTAAATCCCCTTACTGCACAGGCGTCAAAGTCGTTCCAGAAAGGGCCGTGTGGCTGCTGGTTTTCTTTCCACCCAAGCAGTAGCACACCAGACTCCATTCATCTCATCAAGGTGAGTCAAGTCTTAACCTGATGGCTTGATGGGATGAATGGAGTCTGGTGTGCTACTGCTTGGGTGGAAAGAAAACCAGCAGCCACACGGCCCTTTCTGGAATGACTTTGACACCCCTGCCTTACTGGGTCTGGTTCTGTTGAAGTATGCTTCCTGTCGTTCTATCTTTACCTGTTATTTCTCACTATAATAAAGGTTTGATTGTAGTAATGTGAACAGGATCTGTTTGTATTTTCTGGTAAAGTGTCTTGAAATAAGTGGTTGTAAATTGATTCTTTATAAATAAACCAAACTGAAGTCAAATGGAGCAAGAGTCCTAATATTACTATAGTACAGCGCTTTGGCAGATTGGTGGTTATTATTGTTTCTCTGTTGGGGGGTCTGACCTGACAGCTCATGTTAACAGAACAATTGTTCTTGTCACCTTGCAGTGTCAAAATAATTAGCTCTAAAAAAAAAGGACAGTGAGACGTTCCTCCTGCAGTTCTTCTCATTTTATTGACCTTATAGATAATCTGGGAGTTTAGCAGCAGAGCAGACAGGACACATCAACACTGAGCCATACAAAGAACAACAAACAAATATGGGAGGATAATTAAAGATTAATGTTAAAATAAAACAGTAAAAGATTTAATCAACTAGGACGATAGCAGGAACTAAATGTTTAATGAACCCAAAAGCAAACAGCTTTGGTTAATTAGAATAAAACTTAGTTTTAAGGTGATTTTCTCTTCTTTAAACTCTACATTTATATCTCTACCATACTTGGTCCCTCAGGGTTGCATTGCTCGCTCCTTTTAGCAGACACCAACTAGTTAATGATTCAGGCTCCTATTCTATCAGAGGAAAATGGATTTAAATGGATTAATGATCCTAAACTCACATTTAAACTGGTTTTGGAATAGATAAAGCAGCTTTAAATTAACATCTGGAACCTCGGCCATTGTCATGTCTGGATGATCACGTTTAAGGCTACGTTCACACTGCAGGCATTAATGCACAGTTCTGATTTTTTTTAAGGAAATCTGATTCTTTTGCGTGGTTGATCTCATTTCCAAATATGCAATCTCCTGTGTGAACTGAATTCATTCAACTTAAGTGTCTTAAGGGAGCGTGTTCTGTGTTTACGAAAGTAAACATGGAAGGTAGAGCTGGAGCGCATTTAAAATCTTTCATTTCTTTCCCAGCCTCAGCCAGTGCATTAACAACACAATCTTTTCAAGATGGTTGAAAATAAAGAATGCTCTCCGCATTATCTTCCGCCATGGTTGTTTTTCCTGCTGCTGCTACATAGCAAGATGCAGAATAGTGACTTTAGTCCAGTATTAATGGCATACAGATCAGATGAATGGGTAAGATTTGACTGAGTATCAATACTTTTACTCAAGTACTACAGTTGAATACTTCATCCAACACAGTATGTATGTAATGACAACTATGCTTACCAACTTCAAACTCTTGAAGTTGTTTTGCTAGTAGGAAGAAGAGTACAGCCTCAAAAGGCGGGATTTCCTGAAAAGTAGTCATTCACAGCTGAATTGCTTTGTCCGTTGGGTAACGCCTTCAAAGAGACAATAGTTCACACGAGCACAAAAAACAGATCCACACGTGAGAAAGGGAGGCTGTGCACGAGGATATCAGACCACCAAGTTTGATGTGGAGATGATTCTGCCACTAGAGGGTGCTACTGCTGCTGTTGGTGAGACGCATCACATTCACTTCCTGTTTTGACTACTGAGCAGTGTTTTTGCTCTCCAGGCTATCTCCGTTTTTCCTCTCCACTGTCGCTACAGGCATACTTGGTCTGAGGGATTGCATTCAAGTCAGTGAGTCGATGCAATCAGCTGGTTTTCCTTAGACAGAAAACTTTGAATCAATTTGATTGGATGATCCGGTGAACTGGAAAGTGACTTGAGATGACATGTTGTGAATTGGCGCTATATAAATAAACTGAATTGAATTGAACAAGTGTGTTTAGAAGGAACAAGCACTCGTGTGAGATATATGGGGCCCCGTGGTATTTAAGCATGTAACGTAGCATGTTCAAAAATGCTTGTTATGCCTGTTTTAGGTAAAGCTGCTTGTAGGAGTATCTATTGCACATTTGGACTATTAGCAGAATCCTGATGCTATAATTAAAATTTTTAAATAACCAAGATGTTTTTTTTCTTTACAAAGCTAGGTCCTTTTTTTTTACAGCGTCACTGAAATGCGATGCAGGTATAGAATAGTGATTGATGGATTAGGATTACAGAAGGAAACCCACAGAACTCCAGATACATACATCAACAGTTCTTTAATAGGATGTTTTCAAAATATGGTTATTAACAACTGGTAAAAAAAAAAAAAAGAAAGGTTAACCTGGTAAAATATAACCTCAGCAAAAAGCTTATCAGGGTGTACTGTTTAATTGGTGAAATAGGGCTTTGGGAAATAAATAAAATCAATGAGGGTCAACGGAAAAAGCTGCTGTTTGGTGATGAGTTTGAAAGAACAGAAAAAAACAAAAAAAAAACAAACATCAAGTCATCCGTTTCAATGCTGACTCTCATCTCTTTATCTTAAATAAAAACTCAATTTAACCAATATAACTTTATTTCTATAGTTTGTTTTCCATAAATAAATTATTTCTCTGTATCAAAAAGAGATTTCAAATATAAATCGGCTCATCATGCCGAGAATACACAATGCAAACTCTTAACCTACCGTACGCTCCATTTATCATTTCATCGTCACACAGAGCCTTTGCTTTGCCCTTTAGGAGCTGATTGAAATACGCATTTAAAACATTAAATTAGACGCAGACATATGTACAAAAAGACGCTGCCAGTAAAATATACAAGAGTCTTTAGTAAAAAGTTTAAAACATAGAAAAGCTGTTGTATAAAAGAAGGCAGTGATGCATCCATCAGTCTCCTGCAGTTCATTTAAAGGTCAAATCTCGTCTCTGTCCATTTGATCTCTTGGCAGCAGGTTTCATTAAGCTCACGCTCAATTACATTTGATCAAACAGATCCAGGTGGAGGTGCAGCAATGCGGGGCTTACGGTCTCTTCCTTTCCATGATCTCTAATGACACAAAGCAGCCGGAGCAGAACGGTTCTGTGTGTCCGACAGCAGTGGTTCAGTCTGGGACTCTGATCTCTACAGGTAGTTAGAGGTCGCAAAGCAGTGGCTGTGGCTGACTCGGCTCTGGTGGATCATGGCGCGGTCGTACGCCACCTGTACAGACTTTCGGATGCTGGACTTGCGGCCCTCCATTATGCGTAACTTGTCAGCTGTGTCATCTACTCCCAGAGGGGTCACTTTGTCGCGGGGGAGCCACTGCCTACAAAACCAGAGATGAAAGGAGATTTAATAAAACCCATCAAATCAGAAACAAGAAGTCTACATTTATAACAGAACAATGTCTGACTTGAATCATTTATTTGAAATGTAAGAAGGTTCAGATTTCTCTTCATTTATTCTCCTTGATCTCTTTCAAATGAACTCCAGCTTCAATGTTTCAAATTTGAAACATTGTCTAACCTGTAAGGTAAAAAAAAAAAAACTAACCAATTAAATCGAATCGTATTGTATTCTTGAGTAATGAAAATAATCGAATTGTTGGGTCAGGAAAATGATACTAAATCGAATCGCCATGATAGGTGTGATTTACACCCCTAGAGTTTATTACACCTTAATATTAGCTGCCTGTTGCGTTTCAGAACTGATGTTTTCCACAATAGTTTATCTAATTAGGACAGTTCCTCTGTCTGGATCTGCAGTTATAATCTTCCTTCTGTACGTGGCAAATATTTAGGAATGGAATCAGAGTGGTGTCCTTCAGCTATGAACAAAGTGTAATATTTTGATAAGGCTGGAGCCATGGATGTCTCCTCATCTGCTCACGTGTATGATGTAAAATAAGATGATGTGGAAGACTGGAGATGTATAAAATGCCTTTTTAACTGTTAATCGGGACCTCTTCCTGAGAGGTGAGCAGCTGCCTTCTGTAAGGTCTAAGCAACTTCTCTGATCTGAGTAAGATTACAATTTCTATCAGTCTGTTCTCATGTCTCCTGGTTATTTAATACATATAAGTTATGAAGCGTAATTTAAAGAGTTTGTCCCGATGTGATCTCTTTTCAGGAAAAAGAACCGTAGAGATAGAGCATCAAGGTGCATATACCAAACATCTGGTTAAAGAATAACACTATCTGTGAAACTCACCACGTTCGCTTATTGTCAAAGAAAAGCACCAGGTAGAGCCTCTCGTTGGTCTCCTCCTGTCTCTGCTCGCCCAGGCGGAGGACATCTTTGGGTGGGACGGGGATAGGAATTCCATTAAGCAGCAGGCCCTCCTCTGGCATCTCAGGGTCGATCACCTAAACCAAATAACCGATTTAGAGCGACAGAGTCTACCAACGGTTTGTTCAGGATGATGAAGAATCTAAACACCTCACCAGAGCAGGGTAGGACGGATACCCTCTGCATTTTGCCCACACTAGTTCTAAAGGCTCCAGCTCAGTCTCGTCCTCTGAAGACTGACTCCCGTTTCCTGCTAAACAACGAAACACCTTCATATATCTAATGCATATAAGAAGAAAACATGTCAGGTGACAGTGAAAATCAAGTACCAATATAATCCGAGTCTCCGTTCACTATGTCAGGAAGAGGGACTTTGGAAAGAGATGGCTTTCCGAGGCTCCGTTTGGGCGGCGAGTTGCTGAAAGATCAAACACATCCCTCTGTAAATAAACGGTCAGCCGGCAGCGAAGCCGGGCAGAGGAGATAATCACCTTCAGCTTACATTTCTTTGTGGAGGACGGGACAGGATCTTGACTCGGAGTCAGAGCTGCTGTCTTTGTGTGCGTCGAAGCCGTTGGTCAGTGCTGAAAACAAGACAACGATGAGTCACCTGCAGCACAATCCGACACTACAGCAACAGTTTATTAATAAAAACTAAACAATAAATACAATCTAGATAATGACCCATGATTACAGCTGGGTGATACATCTTAAAAACATAACATCTTATTTCCCCCCCCCTCCCAAAGCAGATTGATTGATTTATCTTTAAAAACTAGCTTTGATTTAAATCCTCGCCTTTGTGGAGTCTCCTTAATTTACAGGGCAACAAAATTCAAGCTGTGAAATTATCATGTTTCACAAAAAAAAAAGAAGAAATGATTAAACTAACTGTGCTCAGCTGGCGGTATCACACTGTTTATTCGTTATGAGAAGATATCGAAGAACAAAAACTGATGAACTGATGCTACTTTATAGACTTTTGCTTGTTTGGAGAAAAAAAAAATCCAGATTTTTTAAGAATTAATAAACTAAAACTGTGATTGATTTATGGACTATTGTTGCAGAACTACCCATAGAGAGTGACCTGGTAGGTATTTAATAGTCACATAAGCAGACTGAGGCTTGTTTGGTGAAACTAAGGACTTGAGGGGGTTTGTTGAACGACTTTCATGGAGGAGTTTTATCATTTGGTCTGTTTTTCCACTTACGGCTCGTTTCTGGGCTACATTCATCAGAATAAACCTTTTAAACACGTCCACAGCAAGTTATTGAGTATATTTTTTTTTCTATATTAAAAACATAAACCGTATAGAATATTTTTATAGCTGGTATCAAACGTCAGATTGTTCAGAACTTCCAACTGCTTTAATTCAGCTAAAGTTCAGTTCCTTTCGGTTGCAGCCAGGAGAGGCCATCTTGCATTTGGTAAAGCTTCTCACCTCTTTCCAGTGTACGATTCCCCGTCCTCCCCTGGTCCGTGTCTGATGATCCGTCTCTACTGGGGGTCCATGCTTCCTTTAGAGTGGGAGGACCTGGGCTTTTCTGGGGGGTTTTGGACACCGGTGTGGACGGGCAGCTGCTGGCTGCTGAGTTAGGGGCCGTCGGCTCTCTAGTCCCGTTCACCACGGTGTTGTCCCTTTCCCTGCAGAGCTTAGCTCCGTTCTTTGCTTTCTTGAACAACACAGATGTTCGTCGTCCGACCCCCCCAGCTGGGGGCCGTGGAGGGGTGGAGAGCCCCGGCAGGCCGTTCGTCACAACCTGCCCTTCCCTGTGCAAACTGGGAGGTGGGCTCCCACAACATCCTTGTGCTTTAGTGCAATTGATGTTCTCTGATGCGCTGTTTGACAGATTGGCGTCCATTTTAAGGCGCTTAGTGGCCCATGTGAGGGACTGGCTATCCCCCGTCATTGGCCGCAGTGTTGGAGGCTCCAAGGGCGCGTCTTCCAGTCGGGGAGGAGGAGACGGTCCTCTAGGTTCAAGTCTTGGGGGAGAAGTGGATTTGAGGTCGTCTAACAAGAAAAAAAAAGAAAAGTTCAGAAATGAAATGTGGCGCACTCCTAATCCGATGATGGTTATGTTGCATGTGGAATGATGTGGTGGTGTAGTTTTCACACACGAAGATGGGGTTTCTCCAATGCTAACAGTAACCAAAGCCCAGAAAGAGTAAAGATGGAGGACTTTTCTTTAACTGTATACCAGCAACGTGTCCACAGACGCACCAAGAAATCAGACGATGATCAGAATCAGACAAGTTTCCACCGAGAATAATAAAAAAAATTAATCCTCTGATTTTAGCCAATCAATTCATCATATCTAAAAGATAACAAAAGCATCCACTAAGGTGAGTATTTGTGGAAATATCCCTCATTTTTGTTTGATTATTTCATCATCAGTTTTATATTTTAAAGGGACATTGTGTAATAATTTCTCTTTTTTACTGCCTGAAATCGATGACTGCATTTCCACGTGTTATAACCTAAACTAATAGTCAGATACATATTTATAAGAAAATAATCTTATACTAGTTTATACTTAAGGTTGGTCATCCATTTGCAATCGCCACAACAGTCTACCATCGTAAAAGTACAGACGGTGGTGAGGGATAAATTTGTACTAATGTACAGAATTACAACGCTTTACTCTTTGCTGGCAGTTCAGTGTGATTAAGAGGCGGCGATGAAGATTATTTGGAGACGCCAACCCAACAACTGAAAGTCTGCACCAATGCAGCACAATGCAGGACCATGCATATGCAGCAGCAACATAAGACATGGTTTCACCATCCCCAAGAAAGCCAAAAAGACTAAGAAACAGGAGGCATCAAAAACCCACAAAAAGGAAAACAAAAACGAGGCTAAACATCAGGCAAGCCTTCTTCAGGAGGAAGGAGGTAATGAAAGAGAAGGATTTTAAAAGAGACACTGAAGTTATCATGTTTCTCCCTGACAACTAAGTAAACTGTTAAGCCAACATTAGCATAAAGCTAACTATTTCCAATCAACTCTTTCAAGTCTTTTGGTTTAAGGTCGTAGGAAAGTGGCTGTTCTAACCGTTGCAGTTCTGAATTCTCCGGAGTGGTGCACGACTTTACACGAGTGAATAAAGTCACTAAGATTGGTCGATTATCAAGGGGGCGGGATTATTGTGGTGGCAGGTTCGCAAGTTTTGTTGTGGCCAGTTTATCAGAAGCACCTTGCTAACCAGTTAGCCACTTAGTGCTAGTGATTTCCAATGGGAAATTCCATTGGGACCAAGTGACTTAGAAACAACACTGTCAAGGAACGCTATGGACAGCGGAAAAATGCAAGAGGAGAATTTTGTTTCAGAGGTCGTGCATGAGTCTCCTCCATCATAGATTTTTTATTTAGAGGAGGAAAGCGGGGACGAAGATGTTGTGGAAGAGGACGCCAGGGCAGCAGAAGCTTGGTTTGGTGTAGAAGGCTTCCAGCCGTACATGTTTGAGCCCTTGCCTCGCAACGCTGCCAGTTCTGTTAGCTCTACGCCTGCTGAAGACACAGACGTCCATCCCCGTGAACACTGGGACGGAACTCAATGGGAAAGTAAATTATTCTTATTTCAACCGTTGCGTATATTAGCTGTGACATATGAATCAAGATGCTATGACCGAAAAAATTGTCTGACAGATAACCGTTGATAAATGATTGGACGAATTTAGGTGTACAGGCTGATGTATAACTACCTGACCTGCATAATATAACCCCCCCGCACAGATTTCAAGACAGGGTTAAAAAAAAAAAAAATAGACATGTTCTAACTTTTGGGACAATACGGTCTGATAAAGAGTACATTTATATATTAAGCCAGAATGATTTGAAACTTAAAAATGACTTCCCTACGACTTTAATTAGACAGCGTTGCTCCTTACCAGTAGTTCCTGTAAACATACACCAACCTTTCGTAGGTTTTTGTGGGTCTAGCAGCTTTCAAAGCCGCTGCGAACGCTGTCCTTTCCACAGTAAATGCCAGCTTGTAGAGAGCTGTCACTTCACAATGACGCGGTTACATCTGCGCTGTTGAGGCTTGGCCACCTTTGCGGCGCTAGGGGAGTGAAATACCCCCATTTCACCACTAGATGGCAGTAATTCTTACACAATTTCCTTTTAAATGAAGCTGGGGGGAAAAAAATAAAAGGGCGCAATTCTTTGAAGATATTTAAAAAATGTGAGCGGAAGAGGACGACTTTATCCTTCTGAGTCAGGAAATACGGGCAGCCACACCGTTCTTCTAATGCAAGTTGTGCTAATTTGGTTTTAATTTAAAAGGCTGTAGTTTCCTATTCATTTTAAATTCCCTTTATTCAGGCGTTTTCGCACATTGTGACGTCTCCTCTGTTACTTTAGAGGGCAACAAAAAGTTGGAGCAGGAAGGCTGCAATAAAAAAATCTGTTTCTTTCGGATCAAAAGTCAGACACTCCCCTCTGATAACTGCATATTGAATTTCTACAAAGCTAAAATTGTGTTTAGATGTCCTCTGCGGTGGACCCGTCTGTAGTCAGAGGTGAGATGATATGGCATGACTGAAAGTGGCCCAAGGAGAGTAGTGAATCCATGAGTGATGTATAAAGGAGGTGCAAACACAGAGTGCACTAGAAGAGAGGAGTTGTGAGGCAGCCATGGCTAACGAGACTCTCTGGGCCCCTACTTACTAGACTGGAGACAGTGGGGTGGTTGGGGTTGGTGCGTGGGGGGGGACCCTGGCTCAAAAACCTGAGGACAATGTTCCGTTAGCTCATGTTCACAACTGATCTCACTGAAACAAATCAAGCCTTTCAAAAGCTTCATGCATTGCAGATTTCATACTGCTGGTGATTTAGTGCACCTAACAACTCACCTTTGTCTGAGGATCCAACGCTGCCGTCTGCTTTGGCCTCAATATCCTCGTCGTCGTCATCATCATCCTCCTCGCCTTCCTCTTTAAAATGGCCGTTGTGGACGCCGTGGCCCGTGGGTTGCCCCTGTCTGTGCCGGAGCTTGTTGATCTCGCGCCGTAGCAGGCGGATGCGTTTAGCCCGGGCGCCGCTGGAGCGCATGGAAGCCACAAAGTCTAGTTTCTCCAGAAGCTCCTTCAGCTGCTCCTCCACCGTCATGTGGAGTCGGTTATCTGGATCCAGGACACTATCAACTGGGAACATCAAAAAGACTTATTGGACTGGGATGAATTATGTGTGTGTCCTCCATTTGTACAGTGTTCTGTTGGACACAATGGTTCTGCAGAATCATAACAGGACAGAAACCTACCATCCTCCCAGGTGCAGCTATAAAAGTCTTTTTTCTGGGGGGACTCAGGGAGGTGCATGCCAGTGTCCAGACCCAGGCCGGCGTTTGTGGCTTGTCTCTGGGCGTGCCGCAGTACGGCGCCCCCTAAGTCCCGAAGACGTAGCGCTGCTTTGTAGAAGACTGTGTCTTTGGTGTTGTAGAGGAGGCAGTTTGACACCATCAGATTAAAGTCCGCCTCCAGGTCGGCCACTGAGCGGTAAGAATGGCTTTCAAGCTTGGAGCGCATAGTGGAGAAGTCCATTGGATGGCTGATAAACTCCAGGTAGTCTGGGACCTGAACGCACAGCAAAGTTAGTCTTTTTAAACAGTCCTAAATAAGAGTCACATTTTCTACTTCAATTAAAAGTTGACCCTCAACTTTCCTAAAAACAACCATAAAAAACTCTAAGATCAATTTCTTAAAAAAAAAAAAACTTAATAAATATAGATGCTAACAGCGAATGATGTAGCGAGCCATTCATGGTTTCTGCACTATTGAGGCCAGTGCTGGGAGTAACCGAGTTATTTTATCATTGAAAAAGTAAAGTAAATGAATACTTTATATACGTTATATTACCAGAAATCTAAGGCAGAGCATTACTTCAACTCAGTCATTCACTGACTTCTCATAAATGCACATCCTCTGCAGCAGGGAGATTTATATTGCGGCGTATGCAATATACATCTGTCAGCATTCCTACTAGGGATGGGAATCAAAAACCGGTTCCTGTTCAGAACCGGTTCCACGTTCCAATTCCATGGCACCGTTTGGCAGCTCGCTTAACCATTCTCTTAAAGGGGCCCTTGATTTTACCTTATCACATCATGTTCTACTCACCCATATGAGTTTTATGTCATTTGGAGCTCTTTGGAAGATATTTTCAAAAATATTCCCCTTCTGTTATATAAAGACCTAGTGGAGGAGGCCCTAGCACACTAAGTTGTGTTTATAACACTCTGGGGCCCATAGCGAGACATCGAAATGAATCCAATGAATGACAACAATATAAACCTTATGCAGCATACTGTATATCTGCTTATTTATTTCAACCATAATCAGAGTTCAAATGAATCTAAATATCATGCAATGTTAAAATTTACTTCAATTTGAAAACAGCCCTGGCTCCTGTCTACTACCGTGAAGCTGGATGATGTATGAAGCAAACTAGCTCTCCACTGTTCTCTGTAGAGAAGCAAAATTGGAGAAAGTCCAGTGTTGCCAACTTAACGACTTTGTTGTTCTAATTGGGGACCTTTCAGGCGCCTCTATTAACCTTTTTTTACAAAGAGACAAATCTGGGCAATTTTCTCTGCGTTTCAGAGAGCTTAGAGACTACATACGAAAGCAGCAAGCATTCTATCATCACAGAAAAGCAGCGAGAGCTGCCAGGCCTTTCCCTGCTTCCCTAAGCTCCGTCTCACAGACAGCTGCCTCGTCCCGAAAGCCTCAAATACAGTCAGAGCAAAGACAGTAGAGCGGAAACCTGCTCTGTTTACCCACAGCTGATGTATAACCAATCCAATCCGCCATGGATTACAGAGCAGGATATTAATAAAATATCAACTTTAATCTAGTCTCTTTTTCTCTCTAGAACAGTTGCACTAAAATGATTACCCGATTACTCCACAGCTTGAATCGTTTGTTAACCTTATAATGAGACCGATTACTGTAGCTTCAGTAAAGGTCAGATGCATGCAGTGTGGATTCAGGAAAAAATTTAAAATCCCTACGTTGTTTTATAAATTAATATAGTTTTGTTTCAGATCTGCATGCCATGCCGCCCCTAAAAACTCAAAACAAAATAAAACCAACTTTCATCTTGAACATATAAGAGATGTTACTACAATGGATGAAGGATCTTATCCATCCAGAGTCTACGGCAGCAGCCCTGTACGACTTCTGACTTTTATTAATTTAAAATAATATCTTCTCTAGTGGTCAACCGAAGAAGCAGGGTGGGGAATCTACAGGTCTCTATTTTTCTACCCATATCATCTGCTTCAGTCTGGCTCCATTGTTAGCCTGTGGTATCATTAGCATTAGCAGCATTAACTTACACAACTAAACAGAGGAGCAATGGAGGAGCTGCTCTGGTAAAAACTGATGACCTCTCTCTCATTATCACATTCCTATATTTTAGTGACCTTCAAATAAAATATATCATCAGTATTATATAAATATCAGTGTGTGGTGAGAACATCTAATCAACAGGTGGACAAAAGTTTTCTTTGGGACCTTTCATTATCTCCTTCATGGGACTTTATAGTCATGAACTCTTTTGTTTGAAGCATTCAGGGAGCATTAGTTTTCAGGAAAATTATCCCGATTAGCGTCTAAGCAGCCTTGCAAATAGATGATGTGCTTTGCTGATAGATGGTTCTGCTACGTCAATAAGGTGGGTTGGTCTGGGTTTTCATGTTTTGATGCATTTTTAGAAAAAGGGCATTTTAATACAGTGGAATCCGCTTACAGTGGTCATGGATATAGTAATCAACCGCTTATATAGATCAAAAGGCTTAGGACAGAATCATTTCTATACAAATATTGTTTAAATAATTCATTTATAGTAATCAGGAAATCCCCTTATAGTGTTCATTTTTGGCCATTTTATGAATGCAACACAAAACAAACGTAGGCAACACAAAACAAACGTAGGCTAGCTTTAATTTTCTGTAGCCTATGCAGTTATCTTGTATGTTGTTGTTCTAAACTTGCACGGTTCTATAATAAAATTCAGTAAATGAGGAAGCTTTCCGTTTCATTTCATTTTTCGCATTGAAAAACCATACAAATGGAATTTGGATGATATTCTGCATAAAAAATAAGTGAAATAACGGTACATTCGGTTTTAGAAATCAACCGCTTATAGTGTTCAAAATGGCTCTGGACCAACGTGACCACTATATGAGGATTCCACGGTAATTAAAGAAACAAATATGAGAAGCTACAGTTTAATTTGCTAAAGCTCTGAATGCTAGTAGCTGGCGCTCAGGATGTTGCTCTGAAGAGAACCACATGGGGACGGCACAAACCTCAAAATAACACACCCAGCCCGGGTCCTCTGATTAGTTATTCTCAAATTGTGAGAAACTGTATTTTATGTCTTATTAAGGGGAATTTTAACAGCAAGAAAATATCAGGAAAAAACAAGATCTCTGACTGACGGACATTCAATCATTTTGAAATGTCAAGCAGCTTGCTAACAGCTTGCAGTGATTTAACACTCAACTCATTAAATCACTGCGAATGTGTTAGTTTTAGGTACAGATAACGATCCATCGATTATACCTTGCTGGCTAAACTTTTCCTTTAAGGCAAGATGGTAATCTTGATGAAATGACAGCACAGACTATGTTTTCAGGGGGACTTTCTGACTTAAAAATATTTTAAAACTACTTTTTACAAGCGTATCACAGCAAATCTCTGTCACTGAAAATAGGAGCAGCAAAAGCATCAGAAGCATCTGAACACACTTTGCTAGACGTGCTTCAGGAGCGTCAAAGATATTCTTGAGGCACATCTGACTTTAATCTGGAGAGGCAGCAATAAAAAGTGTTTGCTGCTTCATTTTTGAAGCGCGTCCGGTGTGAACGAAGCATCAGAGTGCCGACCAGCTAAGACTCCAATTTTCTAAGTTGTCAAACTTCCTTAAGGCAGTATTCCACTGGGTTTTATAAACTGACCTCCTTCAAGTCGACTGGTTGGGCAAAAATCCGAGCCGTGTCCTTCTCCTGAAGCTGATCCAGAGCGGAGCGCAGAAGCATCAACATCGGAGTCAGCTGCAGCTCTAAAGCTGATTGGTGAACTTTGACCTGCAGTTGACAAGGAATACAGAGCTTTTAATTCTGATTTTCGATTCTGATTTTAACCAATATTGATTTACACGAGATATTAAAACAAGTGTTTTATTTGGTAGCTGCTTTCAAATATATATTTGCATTTCTTAAAGCATCAACAGTGGGAGATTTTCAGACCTTTTTAGAGTAAGATAAGGTTGGTTTCACGTCTCAGTATCAACCGATCACTGATCTTTTAAATAAAGGAGATCAGTTTTCCTATCAATCGGTGACCCTCAAAAAATTTCCACAGGAGATTTGAGATAAACCATATCAGTAAGAAGTCAAGTTTCATTTAATTACATTTTTAAACAATTATTACCAAGTACCATTTTCTTAAAATGCAGAACTATTTAATTTGAAATATTTGAATATAAAGAATCTTAAACACTGACTTTACTAATTTAATGAGATAATTTCATTATTCTGCTGAAGAGGCAGCTAATCTACACATGATCAAGTCCAGAAATCCAGCAGGTTGTTTTGTTTATAAATACATCAGCATACGATGGAACAACTTGTATTTTCTGCTGGAAGAAAAAGTTTGAATCCAATGTTACCTGTTCTCGTTTTAGCTTCTCTCTCTTGCGTATGAGCTCCACCAGCAGCCTGGCCTTTTCCAGGTCGTGCCGAAGTTTCTGCCAGTACCTCAGTGCTTCTCTTGCTGCAGAAATCTTCTCGTCTACTTCCGGCTACACAAAGATGACTCATTTTAGAACTCCAGACACCAAGTCAGACATTATTGTTAATATTTAGAGTTAAAAGCCACCTGCTCTGTATTCCTTTGGGATTGGATGTTGTTGTGCAGCCGCCGCACCAGGGCCACGCCGTGTCTTGACTGACGTTTTAGTAACCAGTAGCTATGCAGCCTGTGCATAAACTGGTTTTTCCTTTGCATGAGGATTCCTTTGGAGATTATATTCAACCTGGAGAAGAGGAGAAATAAGCACTTTTATCTTACTCTCAATAAAACTTTGAACAAGCATGATGTGATAGATGCACCAATCGGAAATTCGTTGCTTATTTTCAACGATTAGTTCTTACAAAACTGTAACCTGCTGATCCCGAGGTGATCAAGTTTTCCTTTTATTAGCATTGGCTAATTATTTAAACCAGGCGCAGAGGAAACAAGAAAACCCACTTAAACTATGAGTTGACAGAGCTGATAAATTCTTACATCTCTGTGCTTCTGTATTGCTTAAAAACCTGTCACTACTACAAATAGCTTATATCCAATTTATTTATAAAGCGCTTGTATTAATCAACCAACAGCTGACCAAAACTGTGATTTTATTTCAGTTTTCCATTGTTTGGCTCAAATATTTCATCTGTTTTTTAATAAACGTGAACGATCTCTTGTCCAGAATATATATAATTGTGTGGAAAAGTGCTTCCTTCTACTTGCAGGCATGGATCTGCACATTAGCTGAAACTCTCTTTTCCCTTCTATGTAGCAGCATATTTACTTTAAGCAAACTACTGCACCTAAAGGGCGGGAGTGAGAAAGTTCATGTCTAACTCTTATGAAATGTGAGGGCTCAGTTATGCTTGATGCACATTTGTTCCTAGACCAGTCTGCAGCTTTTATACTCTGTGAGGATATTTCCTGCTCTGCCTAACATTCAGGCCGACTCCAGGGTGCGTACACATTACGTACCGCGTGCCTACAACACCGCAATACATGAAGAGAACATGACCATTTAAAACTTTTTAAAGCCTCTTTGCATAATCCAAGAATGGAAATTATATCTTTTCAAGAGTTTTTCAGAATCTGTTGCACGTGGCAGGGCTGAACGATTTTTCCAAAATCAAAATTGCGATTATTTTTAACCAAAATTGCAATTGCAATATTTTGATTTTCCTTTGCCCTAACCCTAAACTTGAATTTTCTCCCCTAGCTTTCAGTTTGAAAGTTTGCCTGTCCAAAGTCCATTGTTGTAGGATTTTAGTGTGGTCTTTGTGTGAAAAAGTGATTACTTCTACTTGCATACATGAACCTGCATGCTAGCCGCAAAACTATCTACCTTTCTGGCGACAAACTCAATTCAATTGTTTTATCTCAACCTAAAGCGAAGAATTTCATGAGAATGTCGGAAAATCAGATAAGTACGCCGGGGAAACATTATACTGAAGGGAGGTTAGATGCTACTGGAAAGGCTACTTTAGAGGAGGCCGCCAAGGAAAAAGAGCAGGGAGAGGCTACAGCTAGCCCAGGCTAACCTCTAGAGCAGGGGTCACCATCTTTTTTAAGGCTGAGGGCTACTTTATGGGTACTGAGTCATAGGACAGGCTACCAATACTGACCTATGAACTAGAGGAGTCAGCGTTCACCTGAACTTCATAGATAATAAACATATTTCTATTGTTTCTCTTCATTTTTAATTTGCTTTTAGATATTCTCATTATGAAATCCATATAAATTCTCAAATGTTCTAATTTATTGATATGATAAAATGCTTCATAAATGCTTCAAATAAGAGCTTCAGTAAAAAATAAAATTTCAGATTTAGTCCACTGGTAAATTGTTCTGTTTTCAAAAGATGCTGAGGGCACCCCATGTTGTCCTTGAGGGCCCCTTGGTGCCCACGGGCACCACGTTGGTGACCCCTGCTCTAGAGGCTAACTTCCAGAGGTGGAAGAATGGCAGCGGAGGACCAAGGTAGCCTGCGGGCAGACAGAGCAGTGGGGCGGGGGGATAAGGCCACTACTGGTTGGTGTCTTTGCTGGGGGTAGGACCAGGAAATTATCCTTGTAGGGCTTAAAACATTTTTTTTTTTTTTAAGTCACCAAAAAGTATCCTGAGAGCATTCCCCCACATTATCATTTTATTTCTCTATCTTAATAAAAACAAAATTTTTCCCTGCTGTGTCCTTTACTAAAATAGTGGTCAAACCTTGATACTTTCTTATCTCCTATTATTTTGATACCTAATAATTTAAATGAGAGAGCAGTAGAAGAACTTATGGATTTGATGCAGTGATCGGCATATATTCATTTTTATGATTGGCTCCCAAAATCCAGAACGGTGCATGTCTACTAATAGAAGTTTTTCCACCATGTTTCTCTGTGCGGAGCTGTCCTAGGTGAGCGATGTGGGAAACCTTGCTTTGTGGTGGGGTGCAAGTGCTAAAATAACATAATTTCACAGGTTGAACAAGAGAGATGTGGATGAGGAAGGCCATTAGTATTTAAGGACATATAAAATTATTTTAAAATCAATCCTTTAGTAGACAGGAACTTGGATCTTTGAGCAGTTCAGGACCGATAAAGCTTTGTTATTGGTCGATTACAGTACACTACAAAATTTTCTCTGCATATTTGTATAAAAGTAAATACACCCTAAAAATAAATAATAAAAATAATGTAGGACATAATCAAAAGAAACCAGACCTGCTTGGGGGTATATGAGGCACAATGACTTGTGGAGAACCGGTCTGTTGGGGTGAAGAGTTTGCATTCTTCTTCCCTTTCTTCTTATCATCTGGCCCATCTTCAGACTTTCTACCCTTTTTGGGCAAACTGGGACCGTCTGTGTAGGCACTACGTCCTCTACTCGCCCGGCTCCTGCTGCCAACGATTCGTCCTTCGCTTTCCTCATCGGAGTCCGTCTCCTGTCCTGGGGGGGAGTGCGTCTCACAAAATGCCGTCTTCCTGACTGAAAAAGTTGTGCCATTGATTCCCGTTTCTCTTACAGGATCAATCTTCATAAAGAGACCAGCCCGCTGGGCACAGGTGACGTGAAACGCAGTGTAACAATTGGCCTTGTGGCACTGAATGCACGCCCCGCGGCCTTTCTGCTTACAGAGGTAGCAGTTTAATTTCCAGCGAGCTGGAGGAATGTTACTGACCCCTTCCACTGGTTCTAAAAACACTGTGTTTGCAAAGCAAACTTCCGGAATCCATATGGCGCAAACCACGTGTGCCCAACGACCTTCGCTCGTTTGTTTGAAAGCACCACCCCTGTTGGGGCACAGAACACAGTCGACGGGTTTCTGAGGAGATTGTAGGCAGCAGCGGCAGAGCCACTGTCCTTCAGGGACGTAGGGTACGCCGTAACACTCTTGGTGCACTGCCAAGTTGCAAGAGTCACAGAACAGGATGACGTTGCTGTTCAGACATTCATCATCCAAGCACACGCAGCAAAAGGCATCGTCGTCAATAGCACTTTGCGAAGGTGCTCGAATGCGGGCTTCCCGATACGCCTCCTCCTCCAACCGGTCCACCAGCAGCTCAAAATTGTCGGGTGAAACAGCCGAGAGACCGTCGGACAGCCGGCTGATGTTGACCATTTCCAGCCATACAGTGTCCTCCTCATCCATGTCATACTCTGCCTTTGTTTCCTGATCGTCAGGCGAGCACTCAATGTAACGATAATAAGCTGTTGGGAGAGGAGATGCCTCAACTGGCCTAAAGGTTTCCACAATACGAAAACTAGGTTCAGGGAGCTTGGTGTGATTGCTGTTTGACTTGCTGGACTTTTCAGGTGTCTGAGGTTGGGAATTGGGACATTTGTTCTTGGAAGTCTGGGTTGACCTGGCAGAGCTTAATCTGGAGTCCTTTCTGTGGCCTCTGGGCGTGGAAGGTTTACGGGTTGATTGTGCGCTGCTGGTTGGCGATACAGACCGGTCACTGTTTTCTTTGTTGCTGGTGCATTCGCTGACATCCTGAGCCACGGACTCGTCGTCTGTAATGACTTCCAATGGTTCCAGAACGGAAATGCGGTGAAGCCTTCCTTCAAGTTCCACCTCCACCACTTTCTGAGCCTGAGAATAGGAGAGGGTTTCTTTAGTCGGAGATGCTCTGAGGCTGTAAGGAGACGGAGATCGCTGGCGGGCACTCCCACGCCCACCAACTGTCCCATTGGACTTTTTGGCATCCACCCCGCTGCCTCCACAGGCCGCCTGGCCTGTTCGACGTGGCTTCCTCATAGGCCACTGCCTACACTTTCACTCCTGTAAATAAAACAGATAATTAGGGAACAATAGTGCCTTAAACTTTGCATAAAATCTTAAATATACTACCTAGTTATATCTTATTTCACTAATTAACACTAACAAAGATACATCCAATGTATGATTTGAGTTTAAACTAAACTAAATAAGTTAAACATCTTTCCTAATCCAGACTGTGGAGCAATGGGATTAAAACAAAACAACATATCCTTTAAAGAAGCATGCAAATGATAATGCCTAATTTTTTAAATTTAGATTAAACTTACACTTTATTAACAAAATAGTAATAAGAAACTGATGTTGTTCCATTTCGCTTAAACAGAGCAAGGCTAGCATAAGCTAGTCTCCTTATCAAAAATGTATTCATGCACCCATTTGTCTAAGATTGGCAGCTACACGTTTTATTTTAGTGTCTTCTACAGTGCCATTACTGCAGAACAAAATCAATGTAAAATTCAAAAATTCAGGGAGCTCTAACAAGTGTATACAAATTATAGCCAAGATAAACAAAATTTAAACTTTGGATTATTCACCAAAATAAATCATAAATATATAAGTGCTTTTTTTCTTATAAATAGCTGAGATAATGTATATTCCAGATAACAAATCAGACAGATACTGACATTTCAAAACTACAATTTAAAATAATTATGGGAACCCTATCTTTTCAAATTACGAAAACAATGTTAATTGACCAGTTAATTTTCCTAATTATTATCTTACAAAGATTCATATATATTACATTTCACGAGAGTATCCAATCAACTTTCAAGAAAGTTTGAGTGATCGGTTAAAGAGCCAATCAGCTTCAAGAACAACCTCTACTAAAAGGATCAGAGCCCTCCATTCCAGTAGTAAAATGTCAGCCATATTTAGTTTTCAAAAGCTGTCAAGAGCTCATACGTGCTTTACATATTTTAACAATGCTTTTGAGAACCGATACAGTTTTCATCTGTGAAGTCAACACAAAAACTCTACGGCAATGTGTCGATTATCTGGCATTATGTCGTTACATGTCAAGAATGTAACAGAGCTAGGTGGCTAACTTTTAAAGTCGCTAGCCGGTTTTATTGAGGTTTTCTAAACAAAACAAACATAAAAGTTTCAAAAGCAGTAAACAACTTGAAAGTGCAATTAAAAAAAGCACATTTGGCGAGTCTTACCACTAATGTCAGCTGATAAATGGCGGTGCCGCAACAACCGGTGGTTTGAAGCCGCTTCAAGTAATGGTCGCTTAGTTTGGCTTGCTACACTTCCTAGGCTAGCTGCTAACGTTAGCCTCTCCCAGTTTGCTAACACAGCCGGTATTTTTCACCGCCTTATAACGTCTCCAGCTATCAGCAAATGTGCATTTAAAATTAAATCAGCTGATTCCAATGTCATACTGAAAAAAACGACGGTATATTAACACCAAAAAAACGAGTGAAACCTTGTTGTCGATCAAATATAGTGAGAAGAAAAGCTAGCCTCTTACGGCTAGTTGGCTACTTGTTTGGAGCCGAGTTAGTCCTGTAGAGGAAAAGCTAGCAAAGAAAAAGTCAGTGACTTCCGGGTAAAAAATTCATAATAATATATAAAAACGCTAATGGATTCCATTCTAGGAAAAGATTGAATTTAATCGAAAGCATATTTACTATAAGTGGTTTTAATTGCAAAAGACTGTGGTTCAATAAATGCCTTTTTTTCTTGGCCAAAGGCCAAAAAGACCACTGTGTAATAATGTAATAATATACTACTTTCCAACATATATTGAGCTATTTTGGACAGTTTTTTTTTATTATTCGCAGCCAATACATTTAAGCGACAAAGATCAGAATACTTTAGTAGTGTGCTACAGGACTGTTGGGGACAACATAAATCAGATTATAATGGCATTGGATAGATTGGAGGCATAAAAGCTCAAAATCTTGGTTTGACTCAGTTTCAGTTTGGCTTTACTCTTCCACAGTCACCAATTCCTTGATGGTTATTTATCACACCAGAAGCTGATCTGCAATTGGTGGGAATATTTTAAAAAGGGAAAGACTCCAGAATGGGTTATAGTTAATAATCATTTTTTGAATATGGGCTTTTTACAGAAAAGCCCATATTTCTCCTTCTCTCATTTTTTCTCCTTTTTTTCTTTTTTCCTCTTCTGTTCTACTTACATTGCAGTGTCCATATAATCTGTAAAACTCCCTGCATAATTATAAAAAACCAATTTATATGCATGAAACAAGCAGAACACTATGGCGATAGCCATACTGCTCCACTTGTGAAAGTAAAATCTGTTGGGCTCTTTTTGGCATATTATTCTTATTGCCACATTGCCAGACAGGACACTATAAAAAAAATAAATAAAGTACTTTTGAAATATTTAAAAATAGTGTAATTATATTTACAGATGGATTTAAAGATCCAAATAGTGGCAAAACAGGAGCAGGTGTGAATATCCCACACCATAAAGTCATGATGAAAATGAGAACAACAGATCATCTAGCAGTTTTTACAGTTATATTAATTGCCATTATGTTAGTTTTAAAATGGTTGCTTGATTATAATGTTAGGGAAGGAAATAGTTATATTATTGCATCAGATAGTCAAGCTGCATTATTAAGTATCAAATCTGGTAAGACTTGTAGATTAGATTTATTATTAGATATACTATCTATTAGTTCAGCTTCATAATAAGAAATGTTTTGTTCAATTTGTCTGGATTCCTGCTCATGTAGGGATTGAAGGAGATAAGGAAGTAGATATATCAACTAAACAGGCCTTAAAATCAGATATTTTATTAACTTAAGAATTCCTTTAAGCAAAAGTGAGGGTAAATCTGTAATTCAGAATATAATCTGTAAGGTTTGGCAAGAACAACGGGATAATCTTGACACTGGTGGAGATCTATATAAAATTCAAAAGACTGTGGGAGGTAATAGTTGTACAAATGGAAGGTGGAAAGAAGAGGTAGTCATATCTCAACTTAGAATTGGTCATACTGGACTTAATAGTTCTCTTAACAATGGGGAAACATTATACAGGGACAGGTAATCACTGTAATCAAATGGAAACAGTGGAAAATGTATTATTACAATGTTATAAGTATTCACAGGAGCATCGGCATTTAAAGTGAACACTAAATAGAGAAAAATAGGATTTTAAATGATAAACCTTTTATCAGTTAATTCAAATCAGTTAATTAGATAAAAAAAAAAAACACTGGATTATTTAATCATAAAGTAAGAATATAAGTGCGTGTATGCATGTGCATATACACACGTATCATTATATATGAGTTTGTATGGGTATTGATTGATTGTGTGCAGATGCGTGCATACCATTGAGGTATGTATTAATAGCTTCCTTCTGACATCATAACAACATAACCATTGTTACCATCCGCCAACAAAAAACATAGTAAAAATAATACTTTAGGATTCTGCATTTAACTTTTTTTTTATCATTCTGCATTTAACATTTTTTTTTAAATCATATTACTGCCACTTGGATTATTTACCTTAGCATTTTGCATGATCATGTTCCGCTAAATCTGTGCAGTCCTATTAAGATATTTATCATATTTTAAGATTACAAATACCAAATGTTGGGGGTAAAAAATGTAGATGCTCATTTATGAAATAGGAGTATTTTTGTTGACTACTGAAATGCTGTTTTTTTTAATTAAATTTTTTTTTTAAATCAGACCTGCATAATATAGATGCACCATAGCAACCCACTTTCTTAATTAATACTTGATAAATGAAAATACAAAAGGAATCAATGAAATATCTTGTGTTACATCTATTTTTTTATTATTATTATTTTACTGGGTTAATCTGATAATTCCAGAGAGTAATTTCAGGTTTTTTTAAGAGTAGAAAGAAAAAAAAATCTGTTTTGACAGACAGTAACAATGACAAAACATACATATACAAGGCACAGAGGTATCATTAAAACTCATAAAACACATTTTAACACTATAAACATTTTTGCTTTTGCATTTATTTTACCTACTTCAAATGAGATAAAATTACCCATGCTTTTATTGTGACAGCATTGCCTCCTTTTTCCGGTGGGCGGTAACATAATTGATGCCTTGACATTAGCTGGGTGGTAAAAGTTCAGCCTGCTAGGAGACCGCCCCTTTTACGTCACGAGGTCATGATTTTCGCGGGTCTCATCCTCATTAGGCGACAATTCCAGTCACTTTCTCACTGATTAACAATCTTAGTAAATAAATCCTTCTTCTAATAATTAATTCAAAAAGAGCTCCTGCAATATTCCCTTTAGCTATACATGAAAATAATCCCTATGTAAATCAGGGTTAAATCTCTTTTTTTTGCATAGCCTTTGAAATAAATTAGTTATATATAATTTATAGTAAGCTATAAAATGATTTATTAGTAAAATAAGATGACAGAACACACTTAAATAGGGAAATAACACATCTTAAATAAGGTAGTTTGGAAATAACCCAGTGAAGAAAGGATGTCCCACTGTTTCATTCTTTACCTGTTACAAAGGTACAAAAAAAGTGTAAAGAGTGAATATGTTAAAAAAATAAATAAATAAATGTTTTGGCCTAGTGGTTAGAGCGGTGCGCTTGTGTTCTGATAAGGTTGAATGTACTTAGACAACTTTTATTGTCATTTTGTAAACACAGAGTGTGTACAAAACGGAAATTTCGTTTTGAACAGCTTTCAGAACATTTCATTCCCATAAAGTGCAGCATTGATCAGATGTAAACAGTGTGGGAGAAAAGACATGATGCAAAAACGCATTGATATGGAAGTTTAAGATGCACCGAAGCAAAGCTATGTTCCCGGTTCAATCCCCACAGCCTGCACTCTGGGTCCCTGAGCAAGACCCTTAACTCAAGACCCTGGGTACCGCACGGTGGCAGCCCACTGCTCCCCAAGTGGACGGGTTAGATGCAGAGATAAATTTCAGCAGTTAGGATGATTAATAAAGTTCAATTATTATTATTACATAGAAAAGAGAGAGTGCATACCAGTAGACTAGTAGCTGTAGTTTAAACGAGAGCCTGTTGGGATATTTATACCATTACAAAATACAATAATAAATATTAAAAAAACAAAAGAAAGCATAAACAACTAATTATTTTAACATACTAATTAATATAACTTCCTATTTTTCTTGACCTTGAATTTTTACTCCTTTTAGTATATTTGAGGCAAACACTCAACTTTTCACCCAGTAACTCCATGTAGCTAATATTTTGTGTTCTGTTTCATATCAGTTTTTTTAGCAGCTTTTCCTCTGTTGAGACATAGGCATGTTTTAATTGCATTTAAATTTGTTGGCATGTGTGAAATATGTGTGGTAGCCACTAAATATTTGTGGTAGTTATGCAAGTGCATATTTTGGTTAGACCTGTTTTTAATTCAAATATTTCATTTTGAGCACATTAGTTGGGTGGGGGTCTATTCTGGTTCTAAAAAAGGACTATTCAATGCTGTTAGTATATATAAAAAGCTTTATAATAGACTCATGTTGTGCTACATGTAGTAGAGATCTGCTTTTCTTCTCCTTTTGGTTTTGTAATCTTCTAATTACAAAAATGATGATGTTTATAATGCTGATATAAGTTGGGTTAATTATTCAGGCTATCTGCTCCATTAGATTGTACCCTGCTGCTTTATATACATGCAGCTTGTAGGTTGGTGAAGCTCTTTCAAATTTCTACTTTGTATGCATTTTACAACAAGAACTATTTCCCAGCCTTCTGTCTTCTAGCAAAAGAAAAGGACAAACCAGCAGGATGACAGCAGGCAGCAACATCTGCAGGAGAGGAGGCACTGCTTACTCTATGATCCATCTGATGAGGGGAACATTTCAGTCACCATGTTTAAAACACTGTCGGGTTTAGAATGGGGCCAACAGGGGCCAGTGCCCCTGTGGAACTGGTCCTGGCCTCTGCTGTGGTCCCTCTAGTGAAGACATAATACAAAAAAAAAAAAAATGTTTCATGATATTTTACGCTGGAACATAAATAGTGAATGATTGGTTCCTTGGACTCATTTCATTGATATCTTTACAGTTTTGTTTTAATTATAATTTCAAAATAAATGTGGTAGGTCCGTCACATTTAGATCACAGTTTTCATCTACTAAAAGTTATTTTGAAACAAATTAAAAGAAAAAAATCTAATTTGTTACAGATGAAAATATCTTAAGTTCCAACTCTGATTCAATTAAAACAGGTAATTTTCATTTTAAATAAGTAAAAAATATGTGATATTATAATTCATGAATTTACATTGACCTAATATGCAAAATATCTTTAGCAGATATTTATCACCTGATTATTTCTGTGCTTTTTGTTCTATTGTAAGTTTTTTATTTTCATTTCAGGTAAATGAAATGCATATTTTCAAGCCAGGAAATCCACATTTTCAGTTGGAACATAACATTTTAATTCAACTAAATTACATGGAAATTTAACTTCAATTAGTATAGAGCCACGAGTGGCTCTTTGGTTCTACGGCTCTCCCCTAATATAGTTCAAATGCTTAATATCATTTGAA